CCCCGCCCCGCATTATTCGGGGAAATACTCATCTGCATATTGTTCCTTTCTCCTGGGTGGGACTCTAAACTCCCGGAAGGCAGGGTCTGCTTATACATCTTGGTGGCTCACAGTAGGTGTTGGCCATGGTTTGGGGTTTATTTTAGAGCATAGTTCCTGCCCTCAAAGCCCCTCCAGTGTGGATAGACAACTAGAGCATGAACATATTAAATGCAGGGGAGGGATGTTATTCACCACTGACGTGTGTGTATGTGTTCCGTATTCCGTAGCAATAGCACGTATACATAAGTATGTTCAACAGATCTCTAAGGGATGGAATTGCAGAGGCATCTGGGACTCTAAAAGATGTAGGTTGAGGACACACTCAAAGACATCCTGTTTTATACCAAAGGCCATAACCGTGGTGGAGACACTGTTGCCTGGGAGGTGGAAACCGTAAATAAAATCATGGCCATTTTCAGCACCGAAGGAGCTCCTAGAATTATCTAGTTCATCTGTTCTCAGAAGTTTGGGTTTATATGGTCCCTTAATACTCTTTAAGAAATAATTATTGAAGATCCCAAAGACTTTTCATTTATTTGGATTTTATCTATATTTACTAGATTGGAGATTAAAAATAAGAAATTTTCAGAATATTCATTTAAAAATAACAATTCACCAACCACAGTCTAACCTCAATACGTAACATTTTTTTTTTAGAGAATGAGTTCTGTTTTTTTTTTTAAGATTATTTTTTATTTATTTATTTGAGACAGAGAGAGAGAGAGAGAACGAGCAGGGACGAGGGTCAGAGGGAGAGGGAGAAGCAGACTGCCCACCAATCAGGGAGCCCAATGCAGGGCTCAATCCCAGGACCCTGGTGGGATCATTACCTGAGCTGAAGGCAGACGCTTAACTGATTGAGACACCCAGGTACCCCAATAAGTAACATTTCTATGAAAAACAACTTTATTTTCCAAAACAAAAAATAGTCAGTAAGAATTGGCATCATTTTACATTTTTGCGTATCTTTTTAATGCCTGGCCTCAGGGAAGACACATTGATTCTCCTGTCTTCTGCTACATTTATTCTGTTGCAATATGTTGTTGAATATATGTTGGAGGGTTTGAAGAAAATCTGGGCTCAGATAGATACGTAGTTGGAAAAGATACACAGTTGCGCCTTTTCAGAGAATCATGAATATTCTTCAATGTTGCACCTAAACTGGACAAGGGGTAGTTTCTGACAAGTCGATTCCTAGCGGGCCCCACAACCATCTCCATGAACTTTTCACACTTTGTTCCATTAAACACTTTATTCCATTGATATCTCTTGTACTCCGCATGGATCTTTTACCCATGCATGATTTCAGGTCATCCTTGGAAAATATTGTTTCACTGTGCATGCATAGAAATGTTGAATCAATTCGTTGTATGGTATCAAAATCCCACATTTGTAAATATCCCCACCGATCTCATCAGAAGAGTCTTTCAGTTTGGCGAAGCTGTCAGCCCCCCGTGGCATATAAAAGTGTTCTGGAATTCCCATTTTTGTTTGCAAACTTGAATCTTATCATTGGCACAAAATATTGTCAGGTGTTTTTCTCGAAGTGCCAGGCTCACTGCATTCGTTTTTGAGAACGTCTTCTGAATACCCAAGGTTGACCCATCGTAGTTCATCAGTCATGATCTCAAGTAAAAATGGCATTCCAAGAAAAAAAGCATGGTTCTGCTCACAACTCAAACAACTGCATCCATGCTTTTCCTCAAGATAACGGTTGTGCTTTAGCATGCCACAGAAATACCTATGCTTTCTCTCCATCTTTTTTTTTTTTTTTAAGATTTTGTTTGTCAGAAAGGGAGAGAGAGCATGCACAAGCAGGGGGGAGCGGCAGGCAGAGGGAGAAGCAGGCTTCCCGCTGAGCAGGGAGCCCGATGTGGGACTCGATGCCAGGACCCTGGGATCATGACCTGAGCCAAAGGCAGACACTTAACCAACTGAGCCACCGAGGCATCCCAGTTTCTCTCCATCTTATGACATGGAGTAAACAGTGTCAAAATTTAATAAAATTAATTCGTACTGATTCATGAAGGACATTCCTGAGGGAAACTGGCTTTTTAATTAATTGGTTGATTACTTACTGTGAACGAGCAGCAGAGAGGAAAACCACAGCGAGTATTAGTTTGATGCGACTGTTGTGCTGAGGCCCAGGCAGCTTTATCCATCACTGTTTTTACACGATTGGTGCAAAAGTCAGTACAACACAAAAAGCAAACATCTTGATTTTTTTATGAGAGCAGAGTTTGTTTGTTTTAAGTGTACTTACCTTTTTTTAGTAATCTCTACTGCCCAACATGGGGCTTGAACTCAAGACTCTGAGATGAAGAGCTGCATGCTCTTCCAGCTGAGCCAGCCAGGCGCCCCTGTGAAAACAGTGTGGCCCTCATGAACCCTCTAGAGGGTATCACATGTTCACGGGGAGCCCCTGCCGATGTCCCTTGTTTTCTATAAGCAGGTACTTGCGGACCAGCCTCACAGTTTTTGGCACATTCATGAACCACGTTTACAGTTACGAACTTAATCATTTCTTGAAGCTGGTTTGCTTTTAAACTTACTTAAATTTATTTTGAAGGAAGTGTTCGATCACTACCGAAAGCGGTAAACCAGTGACGCAAAAGAAAGGAAACCAAAGCAGAAATGCGTAGCTAATGATTCAAGCTTGCGTACTTAGCTGTGTCCATATAAATCCTGATGTACATGAGCCACCATTTGGAAAACTGCATTCTAGATGCATCTCTTCATTCTCTGGGCAAGGAAATTAGGCCCCAGGAAGAGGGGGGTGATAAGACCAGAGCTCTGGTCTCCTGGCAGCCAGTTTATTGGTTTGTTCTGGGAAACCATGTCCCCCACCCCCCTGCCCAGCCTCCAGATGTTAAATGCATAGTGCTCCGTGGAGAGAAGCTGCACTTGCAGGCTGCCATCAGGGAGGATGTGTGCTCAGTCACCCCTCATGAAAGACACCTAGACATGATGGGCAGGACAGCCTTCCCTTTCCCTGCTCACCCTTGCTGCTGTTCCTGAAAGTGATCAGCAGCTGACGCCTCAGTGTCCCCATGGCTCCTGGGGCAGCGGTCATAGATGCATTGCTTCCTTCGAGAAGTTGCTGGTGGGGCTGGGGTCTGGGGTGAGTCACTTCCAGCTTCTGCCTGGCTTATTAGGTGGGTAGGGGTTCTGAAGGGTTCCAGCATCTTCTCCCATGCCCATGAGAGGCCCACCAAGTTGATGGGCAAAGTGAACGAGGCTGGCGTCCCTTTTCTCTTCCTTTCCCTGAGCTGTTGCATTTTCCCCTTAATCCATCCCCAACAGAAAGACAATGTGGAGATGATCAAGGCCCTCATTGTGTTTGGGGCAGAGGTGGACACCCCAAATGACTTTGGGGAGACTCCTGCGTTCATAGCTTCCAAGATCAGCAAACGTAAGTGCCCTGCACTCTGGACCAGAGTTGGGCAGGGGTGGGTGGGTGCATGCACTGGGGAAGAGGGTGGTCCCAGCCATCAGGCACCAGCATCCTGTCCATACCCACCCCCGTGCTCCCTGCATGGGGTTTCCAGGAGCACCTGGGAGCCTGAGAGGGGAAGCTTTCTGTGCCTAAGAACAAGGGCCATCACCGGTAGATGGTTCGAACCCACCAAGGGGCTTGCCAAACCAGTGTCCTCTTCTGTGCGGCCCCCATCGTTCTTCAGGGTGCCTGGACTCCTGGGGAGGTGGGTAGGATATGCAGTAGCGTTAGCCAGTTGCTCATTCCTGAGGAATTCACCGATGGGACCGCTTGCAGGAACAACCGTGGGTTAATGCATGCACCGCCCTCCACAAGTACATGTGCGTGCCCTGTGCACACAGGCTTGCAGCATGCACCGCACGTTCACTTGGGGAGCCTTGGCATCAGGGCTGGAAAAAGCAGATCATCCTCAGCAGAAGCCTGGGTCCCCTTCAGGGGGTTTTGGGGAGCTGGGGAGGTTGCTGTGGGTGTGTAGCTATTAGTGTGCAAGTGTGCATGCATGCGTTACTTCTTGCGGCATCTCTCCTAGAGGAGGGGAAATGCCCCCAGGCTGCTTGGTCCCTTTTGAGCTCTGGAAGGGACCCTCCATTCAGCGGTTTTGAGAATTGCTGAATGTGGAGGCGAGAGTCCTGTTTTCTTTCTTTTTAAGTTAGGTTTTTATTTTTTTTAATTTTATTTTTTTAAAGATTTATTTACTTATTTGTCAGAGAAGGAGAGAGAGAGAGAGCACAAGCAGGGGGAGCGGCAGGCAGAGGGAGAAGCAGGGAGCCTGATGCGGGGCTCCGTCCCAGGAGCCTGGGATCATGACCTGAGCCGAAGGCAGATGCTTAACCAACTGAGCCACCCAGGCATCCCTTAAATTAGATTTTTAAAATAGTTTATAGTAGATATAATTAAGTCCAATTTTGGGGTTTGTTTGTTTGTTTTAAAGATTTTATTTATTTGACAGAGACCCAGCGAGACCAGCGAGAGAGGGAACACAAGCAGGGGGAGTGGGAGAGGGAGAAGCAGGCTTCCCGCAGAGCAGGGAGCCCAATGTGGGGCTCGATCCCAGGACCCTGGGATCATGACCCGAGCTGAAGGCAGACGCTTAACGACTGAGCCACCCAGGTGCCCCAAGAAGTCCTGTTTTCTTGACTGGAAGTGAAGGGAAAGAGGGGTCCCCAAATACTCGGACTGGGCAACCTCAGCCTTCTTCCATATTCTGTGGTCGACCTCCCTGCCTTGCCAGGCCCCAGGAAGCTATTTGTCTGTAACAGATTGGAGTTAGCACGCCCTGTCAGAGTAGGGTTGGGCCTCCGGGGGGTCCGGTTCCCCCACATACCCAGGCCACCTGATAGATGAGAGCAGGGGCCGTGTGTGGAAAGGAGGGGCCTCTCACTTGCATGTTGACATCACTTGTGATCCTGTACGATCTCCCCCTCCCCAAACCATGACTAGTTGTCACCAGGAAGACGCTCTTAACTCTGCTGAGAACCGTAGGGGCCGACTACCGCCTCCCACTGACCCAAGGGGCCCCCTTGGAGCAGTGCTCCACTACGACACATCACTCCTTCTTCTCCCTGGAAAGATCTCAGCCCCCACCGATCAGCTTAAACAACCTAGGTAGGCCTCCCCCCTGCCACGCTCCCTCCTCTCCAGCTGGTCTCCAGGTGCTGGGATCAGAGCAGTCCTTATCCGAAGGAAACGGGACCCAGGGTAGAAGCTGTTGAAGGGAACAAGGAAGGATGGGGCAGGATTTGTCAGCCTCTGGAGGCAGCCAGTGACCCATAGAGCCCAGAGGCCTGGGGGGGCAGGGGTCCCTGGCTAATGGCCCACAGTCCATGTCTCCTGAGAGAATGCCCTGGACACGGTCTCAGGTCTGGGCATCCCCAGGGCACCCATTAGGGGGGTGCTTTCATGGCCGCCTCTTGTGCCCTGGGAGCTCAGGGTGGGCAGTGATGAGTGCTCTTGGGGTCCAGAGCCCCTGGCCCTCTGGCTCCAATGAGGAGTGTTTCTGCCACGCTGCAGAATCTGCCAGGCCTGGGGCCTCTATGTCTCCTGCTGGCCCCTTTGGTGACCTACAGGCCTTTGAACATGGCCAGGCAACCTGCCTCTGCCCCTGTGTGTCCTTGGTGCCTGTGGGGATGGCCCCCAAGGAGATGGTATCCGTTCTCTGGACTTTCTGTGGGCCCGAGATTGTTTGAGAGTAGGGTCCCCCGAACAGGGCAGTCAGAAACCAATCCTTGGCAAACCAGCTTTTTTTTTTTTTACTCTCTTGCCGTGGAAGCAGACACCAGCACCTAGCCAGGATAGCCCACCCTAGCCTGCAGTCAGGGAAGGCAGAGCCCGCAGCCAGCTGGTCCTCTGGCTCTGCCCCTCCCCTCCCCTGCCCATCCCCACCCAGGCCCTGCCCCCCCACCCCATCTTTATCTCTCAATTTTACAGGCAGGCCGTCACCCATGCCAGGCTGGATGGTGGGCCTGGGGCGCAGCGTCAGATGGGTAATGCCCTGGGCCTCGAGGGGCCGCAGAGCCTGCTGAGCCCCCAGTTCACTGTAGCCCTAGTGCCCTCTTTTTCCCAGCTGCAGGCCAGACACATGCATCTGGCCTTACTACTCTCTCCCTGGCACTCTGTCCACTGCCTCTCCTGGTCAGTCTCGCGCTTATCTCGCCCACCCTCTGGCCACATGCCCTGGTGAGGGGGAGGTGCTCTGCCTTGCAGCCTGCGTTCCTGCTTTCCTCCTTCTAGACTCTGCACAGTGGTGGGGAGGGCCCGTCAGAAGCTGGATGACATGGCAGTGCCGGGCCAGCGGGAGGGCAGCCAGCGCATCGGGTGGCGGCGGGGGTGGGGGTTTGGGGCGCAGAGCAGAACACGGAGGGAGTGGTGGGTGCGGCTGATCTGAGAGGCCACTGAGGAAGTTTCCAGACCTGGGATCAGGATGAGCAGCATCTGGAGAGTGGTTGGTTATCTCCCTTCACTCATGGACTTAAACCTCAAGGAATGTCCAGACTCAGCCCTTTTGGCTAAATGACCTTGGATGAGTCAGTCCCTGACACTCTCTGAGCTTCATCTGGCAATTGGGAATAAGGATTCTGGTGATGATGGATGTCAGCAGCTCCGCTTGCCCGATGCATGAGAAAGCGCTGTGGGAACTGAAAAGCACAGGGCATGGCCGGGGTGCTTGGGCTTCGGGGCTTTGGGAGGAAGGCGTCGAGGAGAGTCTGGGAGCTCTCCAGGTGGGATGGGGGCACTTCCCAGAGAGGTGGGCTCCCCTCTGAATTCTAGCCTGGTGGCCTCTTGCTCAGCTGTGTCCTGGGACGCAGAGCTCTTGCTGGCGGCCGGAGGCAGGTGCTCCTGCCAGGGGCGGTCGGGGGAGGGCACAGCCCCACAGCTGTTCTCAGGGCCCGAGGGCTGGTGGGAACCCAGCACCCGCGTGGCCCCGGCCCACCGGACCTTGTGCCTCACAGAACTGCAGGACATCGTGCACATCCCCCGCTCCCGGAAGCCGGCCTTCATCCTGAGCTCCATGAGGGACGAGAAGCGAACGTAAGTGGAGGCGGGAGGGAGACCGCACGTACGAGGCTCTGCTTGGTGCCCTCCAGCAGGCTCGGGGCTTTCAGCTAGTCCACACCAGGGCCCTGGGAGGTAGTTTGTGTCCTCTGTAGTTCACAGAGAAGGGACTGGCTCTTCAGAGAGCCTGGGTCTGCTCTTTCATCAGTGACCATGTGGGCTCGGGGGTCACACGATGGAGGGGGCTGCAGTCCTGTCCCTTCCCTCCTGACCTTGTCCTGGTTTCTTGGGGAAGATCACTCAGAGCCCCTCTGTGATGCTGAGCCTGCTTCCCCTGGCTCTACCCTACCCCTTGGCCTGCTTCCCCCCACAGAGCTAGTGGGTGGGCTGGCTTCCCAAGCACCTGCTGTACACCCAGGCCCATCCTCGGAGGCAGGCCTGGGTGATGGGCACAAAGAGCAGAAGCCTTGGTCCTTGAGGACAATCCCTGGGGCCCAGAAAGAATGTCTGCCATGCAAGGCAAGTTCCCAGCGCGAATGTGCTGGGAATCGACTGTGCTTTCTCTCTCTTTTCTCCCTTCCATAATAGAGCTGCTTTCTTGTTCTCTGGCTCTTACTGTCCCGTGCTCCTAACAGCCTGCCTGGGGAGGGATTAAGACCCTTGTTCTGCACGTGCGGGACCTGAGTCCCTGAGAAGTGAAGTGACCTGCTCAAGGTCACATAGTGAGCATCAGAGCAGAGACTCGAGCCTGGGTCTTCGGAGCTCACGCCCTTCCTGCTGCTGCAGGCTCTCTGGGCGCACAGAATGCCGTTGAGTCAGCAGACACAGCCCCTGCTCCTAGGGCCACATGGTAGCAACAGGTGGCTCTGCCTCTCCTTGCCTGAAGGGTTGGCTCCCATTTAGTAGGTCTCACTCGTTTCCAAGGCCGCCCTGTGATGTGCACCCTGGAGGTACCTCAGCCCCATCCGCATACTGGTGGTTCCTGCCGCCGCGCCTCCCACGTGCGTACATGCACGCACATGCACACACCTGCGCAGGGGCTGAGGAGGGTACCAGAGGGAGGACCGACCTGTCCCGGCCAGTAAGAGGAGAGGAGGCAGATTCTCCAGCAGAATCAGGGTAATTCGCCCCAGCCGGAGTACCCTCCCTGCAAGCAGGACTGAGGCGAGAATCAGGACACCCCTGTGGGGACCTCCCCACACAGGGCTGTGAGCCACATTGCTCCGCCTTGCTCCGTCTGGGTTGATGTCTCCGTTGTAAGCCCCGCATCCTTAGAAGGGTCCCTCGCATGTCTGCTCTGGCCTCCCTGGTCAGGGGTCCTGTGGGCCTCCGGTGACAGCCCAGCCTCCCCTGCCACCCTCTGGGCTTGCTGGGCTGGGCAGCTTGTCCAGGAAAACAGGGGACCCGAGAGGTGGGCCACCCAGGCCTCCATTTACCAGCTGTCTGCCGACGCCTCCTGAGTGCACTGGATACACGGCTCTGCCCAGAGCAGAGCCAGTCTCTGCCCTCAGGGAGCTTCCATCCCATCCTGTGCGGGAGAAAGACAGTGACCGAGGGAACCAAGACGCTTGCTTATGGGAGCTAGAAGTGCTGTACGCCAAGGAAGTGGGTGGAGGAGGAACAGGCTGAGCTGGAGGGCGCTGATGGCATCAGAGCAGGCTTCTCTCAGCAGTGACATTTAAGCTGAGATGGAAGGATGAGGAGACCAGAAGGAAGCTTCTGGGTCTGAGCACAGACTGAAACCCTTCCCCAGGGCAGGGAGCCTGGCATGGCTGGGCCGTGGAGACGTGTCAGGGCGTGTGGCAGAGCAGGTGACTCAGGAGTCAGCAGGCCCCTGTCCATCCGGCCGCATCAATTCCCAATCTTGTGACTGGGCGGTCACCTAACCTCCGAGCTTCATTCCTAGCTGGGAGTGTCGGCCTCGAAGGGGTTTGGGATGTTTGTGCGAATTCACGCTGGGAGAAGCACCTCACAGCTCCTGGCACACAGACGATCCTCCCTCCCTGCCCCCCTCCTCGCCTGCTGCTCCCACCTGGGAAGAGGGTCCTCACCCTCTCCACCAGCCGCCGTTCCTGGCCGGCTGCAGGATACCAGCCCTTCCCCCCAGCCTTGTCTAATTCAAAGAGACTTTTCTTAGGCACCTGCTTCGGGGCAGGCCTGGGCCTGGGAATCCACACCCACCCAAAACCAAGTGGGAGAGGCAGACCCAGCTGTCCGCTGAGGTGGCACCTGGCCCCTTTCCTTATTGCTAATTACACTTTTCCCCTCCTGAAATACTCTGTTTATTCCTTTACTGACTGTGCTCCTGCCGCCCCCCCTCAAAAAAAAGAAGCCCCAGTAGCACGCAAGCTCCACGGGGCCTTATCTTTACGTGCTCACAGGTGTTCAGGGCCACAGGCCCACGTAAAGTGCTGGGCTGTAACGGGATCCTCTTCTCTCCCACTGCTGTCCCCACCACAGCCACGACCACCTGCTCTGCCTGGACGGAGGGGGCGTGAAGGGCCTCGTCATCATCCAGCTCCTCATCGCCATCGAGAAGGCCTCAGGCATCACCACCAAGGATCTCTTTGACTGGGTGGCGGGGACGAGCACAGGGGGCATCCTGACCCTGGCCATTCTGCACAGTGAGGGCAGGTCCCTGGGTGGTGTGAGCAGGGCACGGTGGGGTTGGGATCTGCCCTCCAATTGCACTCAGTTTCTTTTCAGAGCTTTGCAAAGAGGGTCGTTGGGGAGGGGAGGGCCTGGAAGCCCTTTGTGGGGGCGGCTAAGGGCATTGGGGTGCGAGGCTGGAAAGAGAAGGGCTGGGGGGTGGGCTGGGGCTGGGTGCCCTGCCCTCCATGGGGGACACAACGAGCCTTTCCGTGTACGAAGCATTTTTACATCAGTCACCTCTACCACTCTTCCCCCACAGCCTTGTGAGGCAGGCCCTGCTGGGCCTCAGAAGGGCTGGAAATAAGGAAAGCCATTCTGAGGGTGGGTGCAGTGGGTGGGCTCAGGAAGGAGGAGCCACGGAGTCACAGAAATCCAGAGCCCCAGTCAGCATGCGCTGTTTACCCACAGGGAAATTAAGGCCGTGGGGGGAGAGGAGTGCCCCAAAGTCACAGAGCCCAGCCATGGAGTTGCTGGGGCTAGGACAGTTCCTTAGACAGCCGGGACTTCCTTAGACAGCCAGACCAGCATGTCCCAAGGCCACAGGGCACCCATGCATCACAGCGTCGCAGAGGTGACAGAGGTGCCTCGCTTACCAGGCAGGCTTCTAGGTGGTTCTTGTCTCCACTCAGTGTCCCCTTTGTGGAGCTGTCTGGGCTGCGTGATGCTGCCTGCAGGGGGCCCTCCCAGAGCCAGCTACCACCCAGGCAAGAACGGTCCTCTGCCTCGGCTTCCCTGACCTTTCATCCCTGCCCCAGTGCCTGGCAATTCCAGGTTCTCCAGTGCACCCCCCAGGTCTGAAGGCATGGGGAGAGGACCCTGCGGCCCCCAGACCAGGCCTGTACTGGGCAATGGGGTGGTGGGGCTGAGGCAGGTGCATGCCCCCGCTCAGGGAGCCCCAGTCCCATGGGGGAGCTGCAGGCATCTGGGTATTGACCGTGTGAGGAGGCCATGGCCCAGCAGTTCAGGGTGTCAGGGACATGAGGCAGCCAGGCCAGGAGGCGGCTGAGAGCAGCGTCCCATGGGGCTCTGGGAAGAGGATTATTAGTCAGCAGTCTTCTGGGACTTCCCTCCCCTGGCCTCAGGGGCCCCACATCCCCTCTCTGGTCTCCAGTTCTTGCCTTCCATGAGACAAAAGCTATCTTGGATCTGTGTCTGCCCAGTGGGGCATGAGGTCTGGGGTGCGGACGTCCTAGCCTCCTCCAGAAAGGATCACTTCCTTCTTCAGACTCCCGGGGGCTATGGGAGGGATTTGAGAAGTCACCTAGTTCAGCCTCTGGTAATAGCAGACCCCTCTACTCCACAGCCCCCCTGCACCCTGCTTGTACAACCCTAGCCCGAGTGAGGTGCAGCCTGCCCCTTTGACCCTGCCTGTCCTCAGAGGCCTACAGGACAGGGCTGGTCCTTCTATTCTGAGCCAAATGGGGTAGGTCTAGATTAGCTTTAGAAGCTCTTACACTTTCAGGGCCCTTCTCTAAGGAGAATACAAAATTGTGAATACAGAATGACGTGCAGAGCCTCGGGGCTGCTGAAGGGGAGTCTGCCTCTGTGGGAAGTTGCCGAGGAGAGGCCCAGGAGCCCCGGCTGGGTTAAGTGCCTGAGACAAGCCGGTCCCCGGCTGCCACCCCCTGCCCCCGCAGCTGGCAGGGCGTGGCCCTCGTGTCTCCCCCACCTTGTTCCTAGGCAAGTCCATGGCCTACATGAGGGGTGTGTACTTTCGCATGAAGGATGAGGTGTTCCGGGGCTCGCGGCCCTATGAGTCGGGGCCCCTGGAGGAGTTCCTGAAGCGCGAGTTTGGGGAGCACACCAAGATGACCGACGTCAAGAAACCCAAGTAAGCCTCCTCAGCAGGAGCACTGTGGCTGTGGCCCCAGCTGGGCAGCCCTCCCACCATTCTGGGGGCGCAGAGGGCTCCCTGCCCCGGTCTGGTGAAAGGGGGGGGCATTCAGCAGCTCCTTCCCAAGTGGGCCAGGGGCTTCTGGAGGACGCTGTTGCGGGACACCCCCCACCTGGGACTGCTGTTTTCCCACCCAGACAGCACATCTCTGGGTCAGAAGGGGTCGCTTCTCGGCCGCCACACACCGGAGACTTTTTGCTGAGTGGGGCTGTGCCCCAGGCATTGTGTGTGTGTGTGTGTGCATGTGTGTGTGTGTGTGGGGGGGTTTGAAGGGGGCCACCACCAGGTGGAAAGGCCAGTGGGCCATTTGCAGTCTGGTTGGGAGATAAGTGGCCTGAAAAATGACAGCCGTGCAAGGCTGCAGGTGTTTGAGAAGTTCCAGAAGAGCCTATAGCACAGCTACTTTTTTGTAGGACTGCCCAGCCCGGAATTACTTTATTGTCCGTTTCATGCCTGTGTCTGTCACCTGCCAGACTTGAGCTCCCTGAGGCAGGAATACGGCTGCCTTGTTTTCTCTGCAGCCCCAGCATCTGCCCCAGAGCAGGGCACTGAGAAGTGTTCATGAGCTGACAGAGGAGGACTGAGGGCGAGGTGGTCAGGGGGAGATTCCTGGAGGTTGTGATGTGTGAGCAAGGCCTAGTGGGTTAGGGAGGATTTCTTGTCATAATAAACCTTTCTTTCTTCTTCTTTTTTTTTTTTTTTTAATTTAAGAATAATGCATAGTCTTTTAAGAAAAATTGGGGAAAAAAAAAAGTAAAAAGGAGGAAATATCATTCATGTAGTAAAAACCAAAAGATAATGTTTTAAAAACATTTTTGTGTATTTTATCCTAGATACTTTCTCTCTCTTAAATGGTGAAATAGAACATACATTTAGAAAAGTACATAAACCAGTTCAGTGAATAATTTTAAAGCAAACACCCACATAATCACCAGCCAAGTCCCAAAGCCCGTTGAGCACGTCCCCAGCCCCTTCGCAGCTCCTGCTCTACCACACGGGGGCGCTGCTCTCCCGACTGGTGTGCAGTGGATTTCCTGGATTTTCTTTTTCTTTCTTTCTCTTTCTTTCTTTCTTTCTTTCTTTCTTTCTTTCTTTCTTTCTTTCTTTCTTTCTTTCTTTCTTTCTTTCTTTTTCTTTC